AAAAATATAAAAGAATAAAAAGATAAGAAGGAAAGAAGAAGAAAATTAAATTTTTTAATAAATATTAATTACATTAAGGGGGAACGTCACAAATATTGAATTCGATAAATCAAGAATTGAGAAGAGATTTGGTCTCTTTGCTTTCTCTCTAACGTTTCTCCTCTCCTCCACAACTGGGTCCGTCTCTGAAGTCTGGACATGAGTTTACCGGTAAGAGAAAAATGTAGTTTTGGTCCTTTGGATGCGACTATAACTGTAGGTTAAAAAATCATATCCCACATCGAATGTAGACTAATCGGTGGGAGAATAATCCTTTATAAAATGGTGCACCACTCGACAAATGAATTGGCCTTGTCAATGCATTGGATGAGCCCATCAATGGAGTTGATGAAATTTTTTTTTTTTTCTAAGTCAATTAAATGTTAAAAATTGTGCCCGATTAGGCGCACTTAATCCCTTTTAGGCGTGTTTAATCTCACATATTCACGCTTGAGCGGTCAACATGTTTAATCTCGCATATTCACGCTTGAGACGTCAACAAAAGAGTTTGGCCACATTTTTACATGCGTACCCTGAATGCGACGCGTTTTGGTCGCACACCGCGCCTAGTCGTGCTTATGCTGGGCGTTTTACCACATTTTAGAACACTGCTGAAAAGTATCCCATGAGGTTAAATTGTTTGGCTGAAAATGATAATATTGTGTTGCCCCGCTGTGTTACAACTTCAATCTATGTAGCGCTAGACGATAGATTAAATTAAGGGTGAAACTAAATGAGTCATTTAATTTCACTCATCATTTAATGATACATTGACGCCAGATTATAATCCAAGTGGAGCTAAATAGCATTATTCGGCTGAAAAATACGAATTTATTTTTTACTGCAAAACGCAATTATGGTGGGTGTTAGTATTACTTGGGGTTCGACAATCACAAAAATTTGCACATTTTCTGTTAGGAGCTAGTAATTTTTTTGTTTGATTCCTTGTACAGTCTATTCTAGCGTGCCAAACGAAGTGAATGAATTCAGAGCATTTTTTATACTAATGTAGATTGCATGGAAAAAAAAATTTATCAAGAGTAAAATAGACAGTATTTAAAAAATAAATAATGATCTTCAATACAACGTAAGGGGAATATGTCTAGATGACTTGGCAAGAAAAAAAAGTTAAATATTGTGAACAAGTCCATCTATACGTAGAGACTGTTAAGACGGAAGAAATCTATAATGTTTGTTACTTTTTCTAGTTTATCGAAATTCACTAGAAATAAAATTTGAACTTCATCGTCTATTTATTAAACATCAATATTACAAAAAAATTTATTTCTCCTCTTGTCATAGGAGTAGCTCAGCATTTCAAGGGTGAATTTCTTTTATCGTTTGAATTTCAAGTGTTATATTAAAGAATAATGTTCTTTATCATTATAATGATAGAATATCTGTAATGTGACAGTTTAAGTGAAATAATGGAATATGACATTTCAATTTCCCTATCTCTTGAAAATTAAATTGTCATATTCTATCGTCTAAATTGTCACATCAACAATATTTCATCATTATAATGATGAATAACATTACTATATACTAAATAGTTATTTCATAGAATGCAGGCGACGAGTCGTTGCAATTAGTGCTGTCCAAATCTTGTTGACATTAATTGTTCCAAATCTTGTAGGGCAGTCCTATTAATAATATAATTTATTTAGGGCAAGAAGTTACTTCACAACCACAAAGAATTGTGTTGTAATTTCAAAATTAAATTGGAAGTTATTATAAGAAGAATCTAGTCAATTCTAATTATGAAATCCTTAAAATTGTATTATTCTTGTAATTATCAATTAGTGCAACATGGAGGGTATTTTCACAAATCAATGGTAATAATGACTTTTTTGTATATGGGAAAATTTCGTTTAATTTTACCAATGAGATTATGATTAAAATTTTAAATTTAAGAGTTTTTTTAAATTTTATTTATAAATTAATTAATTAAACATATATTTTATTAATTAAATATATTAAGGTTATAATTCCATATAATTTGGTCACAAATTTCATATAATTTGTCAAAAATCACAATTTTCATATGTCACATATAATTTTACGGTCACAAATCTATCAATTTAATTAGCCACATATTATATTTCGGTCACAAACAGAAATTTTATATGTCACGAATTATTTTACGGTCGCAATTTATTCATCGATCACAAATAAAAAATTTCTACGTTACAATTTATTTATCGGTCAAAAATCGCAAATATACAACTTATTAGACAGTCTCAAATTATCAGTAACAAATTAACAATTTTTTAGGTCACATATTATTTTTTGGTCATAATTTTTTTTTTCATTGGTCGAATATTATTTATCGGTCACGGATTAATCAATTTAATGATCACAAACAACCAAATAATCTGTGACCACCACCAATACTTGTGACTACTACCTCACCACTGCCACCAACAGTATGGCAACCAAAACCCCGTTGTCGGAACCACCACCTCCCGGCAACAAACCATTATCTAAAAATACCGACATCACCACCACCACCACCAACCCACAATCATATGAGCAGCTAGAGATCCACCACCACAGATCTACCACAGCACACCACCCCAACCACCACCATCTCCAATTGCACCACACCCTACTAAAAAATCTACAAACTCGCCGCAGCCACCTCAGCACACCATCATTGCACTGCAATTGGCCAAAGGGTCTCCCCACAACCATATCCATCCTCACTCCGTCAACGTGTCCTACTACCATTGCCCTCCCCGCCAGATCTACCCTTCCCGCCAGCACATCCACCTGCACCAACCACTTGTAGTACCACCATTACCACCGAATTGCAGCAGCGACAAGGGGAAAGCTGCTCTGCAATGTAGCGTCATAGCGGCGCTACAGCGACGATGGGTGCTACAACATTGAACAGCGATCGCTGCGTTGTAGTGGTGTGAGCTTCTTCGTCGCAGTGTCATTCGATCACCGTAGTGACATCATCACCGCAACAGCGATGGTCTCCAATAATCTGCCCGGTGTGAGAGAAGCGAGAGATGGGGAGAGAGGTAATATGTCGGTGTGAGAGAACGGGAAGATGGAAGAAGAAGAGGAAGAGAGAGAAAATATGTTAGGATTTGGATTGAATTTGGTAATTAAGAATTGTAATGAATTTTGATGGCATTAAAATTAAAATTAAAAATATTAAATATTTAAATTAATATATGATTTGTATATAAATAAACTTTATATCTGATTTTTGAAATTAAAAATTAAAAATTCTGATTTAAGCACTGTTTGGTAACCATTATTCTAGAAAAAAATNGGCACCGTTGGGTAACCATTAGTCTAGAAAAAATGTATTCTTTGTGTCAAATCACACCTTTTTTGTGGTTGAAAATGAAGGAAAATGTATTGATGTGATGGAAAATATTATTTTATTGATGAATGTGTGGTTGAAATTTAGTAGAAGATTGAGAATGAAAATATGAATGGTTACCAAACGGTGCCTAAATGTAATTACCACTTCAAATAGTCCCTTAAAAACTCTCAAATGCAAAGGAAATAAATATTTCATAGTTTTATAGCCAAATGATTAATAGATATAACAATAAATAAAACCAAAATAGCAACAACAAAATTTTAACTTCTGAAACACAATTAAAGTCGAAAATCAATTTACAAGGAAATTCATACATCAAAATGATCACCAATATTCACCACGAAGAGCCCTGAGAACCCTACCATGGGGAGAATCAGGATCACCCCTAATCGCATTCTCCCTAAATATCTCCATTGCTCGACGTAGAGAATCCTCCGCCGTGTCAATCTGCTCCGGCCGCCACAGCACCACCCCCTCACCGTCATAACCCACAGCATAATCCTGCACAGTCCCATCTGTGGCTCTTGTTATCGGCTTTCTTGTATCCGCTATTTCTATCTCCGATAAGGGAGAAGCCTTGTGATGCTTCAAGTATTCCCTATCATCATTTCACTAATTTCAAATTTAAGAGAGATGGTTTACAATTTCAAATCTCAAATTTTTTTAAATTTTATTTATAAATTAATTAATTAAACATATATTTTATTAATTAAATATATTAAGGTTACAATTCCATATAATTTGGTCACAAATTTCATATAATTTGTCACAAAACAATTTTCATATGTCACAAATAATTTTACGGTCACAAATCTATCAATTTAATTAGCCACATATTATATTTCGGTCACAAACATAAATTTTATATGTCACGAATTATTTTACGGTCACAATTTATTCATCGATCACAAATAAAAAATTTCTACGTTACAATTTATTTATCGGTCAAAAATCGCAAATATTAAGTGTCACAACTTATTAGACAGTCTCAAATTATTAGTAACAAATTAACAATTTTTTAGGTCACATATTATTTTTTGGTCACAATTTATTTTTTTCATTGATCGAATATTATTTATCGGTCACAGATTAATCAATTTAATGATCACAAACAACCAAATAATCTGTGACCACCACCAACACTTGTGACTACTACCTTACCACTACCACCAACAGTATGGCAACCAAAACCCCGTTGTCGGAACCACCACCTCCCGGCAACAAACCATTATCTAAAAATACCGACATCACCACCACCACCACCCACAACCACCGCACCACCACCACCACCAACCCACAATCATATGAGCCGCTAGAGATCCACCACCACAGATCCACCACAGCACACCACCCCAACCACCACCATCTCCAATTGCACCACACCTTACTAAAAAATCTACAAACTCGCCGCACCCACCTCAGCACACCATCATTGCACTGCAACTGGACTAAGGGGCTCCCCACAACCATATCCATCCTCACTCCGTCAACGTGTCCTACTACCATTGCCCTCCCCGCCAAATCTACCCTTCCCGCCAGCACATCCACCTGCACCAACCACTTGTAGTACCACCATTACCATCGAATTGCAGCAGCGACAAGGGGGAAGCTGCTCTGCAATGTAGCGTCATCGCGGCGCTACAGCGGCGATGGGTGCTACAACATTGAACAACGATCGCTGCGTTGTAGTGGCGTGAGCATCGCCGCAGTAGTGTCATTCAAGTCACCGTAGTGGCGTCATCACCGCAACAGCGATGGTCTCCAGTAATCTACCCGGTGCGAGAGAAGGGAGAGATGGGGAGAGAGGTAATATGTCGGTGTGAGAGAACGAGAAGATGGAAGATGAAGAAAGAGAAAATATGTTAGGATTTCGATTGAATTTGGTAATTAAGAATTGCAATGAATTTTGATGGTATTAAAATTAAAAATATTAAATATTTGAATTAATATATGATTTGTATATAAATAAACTTTATATCTGATTTTTGAAATTAAAAATTAAAAATTCTGATTTAATGTAATTACCACTTCAAATAGTCCCTTAAAAACTCTCAAGTGCAAAGGAAATAAATATTTCATAGTTTTATAGCCAAATGATTAATAGATATAACAATAAATAAAACCAAAATAGCAACAATAAAATTTTAACTTCTGAAACACAATTAAAGTCGAAAATCATTTTACAAGGAAATTCATACATCAAAATGATCACCAATATTCCCCACGAAGAGCCCTGAGAACCCTACCATGGGGAGAATCAGGATCACCCCTAATCGCATTCTCCCTAAATATCTCCATTGCTCGACGTAGAGAATCCTCGGCCGTGTCAATCTGCTCCGGCCGCCACAGCACCACCCCCTCACTGTCATAACCCACAGCATAATCCTGCACAGTCCCATCTGTGGCTCTTGTTATCGGCTTTCTTGTATCCGCTATTTCTATCTCCGATAAGGGAGAAGCCTTGTGATGCTTCAAGTATTCCCTATCATCTTCCATTTGTTCTTTACTTTGCTCCCTTGTGTCTTCCGGCCACGGGCTCCCGTCCAAACCTGCGCAGTTCAAGTCTTCTATTGTTGAACTGTTCCACCGCTTCTGTTGGGTGATGGGATCAATTCGCTCGTTCACTCCTGTGCTCTCTAGTTTAGGAGACGAATCAGTTGGTGATTTTGGAGCCACGTATGGTTCTTTGATTAATTCTTTCTCCGGTAAGTGCCTCAGTTTTTCATCCAACACCGCCTCCGTAGCATCTACTTCCTGTGTTTAGTATACTAAATTAATTCACAACATAAAAAAGTTCAAATCGTTTCATATAAGTATTTTCCTACTTACCTCAGGCTCAACTGCATGAGCGGCAGGATCGCCTCTTCGACCAGTTGTTGAGGCAGAGGCAAGTCTCTGTGACAGAAACTGGTTACGGGGACCGGAAAGGACCCGGTTTAATTTTGCAGCGGTAGATGCTAGTGTCGACTTCATGTCAAACTATTTCCGCACAATTGCATAAGAAGCCAGCGGCGTATATATTTATGCAGGAGTTGTTCAGTTCTGTGTTGGCAATCATTCATAGTGGAAGGAAGGACACGTGCAAAATTAATGCACGTGGCAGTTGTTTCTAGTTGCTTCCTGTCATGTTTGGAATCGCCTAGAACGGTAAGGAACTTCAATCGATTGTCAAAATTGTAAAATAGAAAGGGTGATTGAATTTATTTTACTGCGGTACTTTCAGTTATTTTCTTCTGTTAAAAAAAAATACAAGACAATGTAAATGTTGAGTTTCATTGACTCAAGTGTTTATTTCTCTCTAACCGACCCAAACCCTAACGAGCTCGTCGGGGGGTGGGAGCTTCAGCTCCCCCCTTCCTCCCTTTCTTCCACCTTCCGTCTCTTTTTGTTTTTGTTTAGGTTGCCTGTGGTTGCCGTGGTGTATTGACGATTTTTAGGTGGTTGCGATGGTGTGTTGGCAGTGTTTCGTTTGCCTGTGGTGGCTGTGTGTGCTTGTGCTTCGGTCGGTGAGCTTGGCGGACGAGGTATGGCCGGGGATGTATGGCAGGCCTCCGATTTGGAGGGGTGGGTTCCGTACGCGAACTGGGTCCTCGTTTTCGTCAAATCTCCTGTTGACATATTGTCGAATGTGCAATTTGCGTAGGTTGACATATTGTCGAATTTCCTGTATTCATAAGTCACATTTGTAACTTCGATGTGTTGAATGAATTTCCATTCCATTTTTTTTTAAAAAGTGTTTATTTTCAATAGTTGCGTTCGTACACAGTAACATTATAAGAAATATATATGCTACATAATTTATTTAAAATACCAATATATTAAAAAAAATTCAAATATTAAACTCATGTTTGATAGAAATTATAATCTAATTTTTTATCAAATTAAAAGTTAACAATTAACTTAAACTACATATTTTATGAGACCCACAATTTTTTCAACTACACATGTCATTAACATTAATCAAAATCTACTATTGTTTTTGTTTAGGTTGCATGTGGTTGCGATGGTGTTTTGACGATTTTTAGGTGGTTGCGATGGTGTGTTGGCGGTGTTTCGATTGCTTGTGGTGGCTGTGTGCGCTTGTGCTTCGGTCGGTGAGCTTGGCGGACGAGGTATGGCCGGGAATGTATGGCAGGCCTTCGATTTGGAGGGGTGTGTTCCGTACTCGAATTGGGTCCTCGTTTTCGTCGAGTCTCCTGTTGCCGGTGCCTACCGGGGAGGGGGGGCGAGGGGTGCCGTCGGGCTCTGCCTGCAGTTCTTACTTTTTGGATTTTCTGTGTTGTTTTTGGATTGTTGTTTGGTGGTGTTTAGTTTGTTGTTTAATTATTATTTGTGTTGTTATGACTTTTGGACTTTGGATCCACTGTTGGAACTCTTGCTCTCTTCGGAGAGATCCTGAAATTTAGACAATGTTCGTCACTCTGTGTGCGATGGTGCTCAAGTGCAATTTGCATAGGTTGACATATTGTCGAATTTCCTGTATTCATAAGTCACATTTGTAACTTCGATGTGTTGAATGAATTTCCATTCCATTTTTTAAAAAAAAGTGTTTATTTTCAATAGTTGCGTTCATACACAGTAACATTATAAGAAATATATATGCTACATAATTTATTTAAAATACCAATATATTAAAAAAATTCAAATATTAAACTCATGTTTGATAGAAATTATAATCTAAATTTTTATCAAATTAAGAGTTAACAATTAACTTGAACTACATATTTCATGAGACCCACAATTTTTTCAACTACACATTTCATTAACATTAATCAAAATCTACTAAATATTTGATTTTAATCATCACAAAATATGGACTAATACTAGCAAGTCATGTCCATAATTTTCTCCAACCTCACTAGTCAAAAACAGATGTTAAAAATAATAATAATAATAATAACTTCATTGAGTACATCCATATTATTTTCCAGAGTCCATTAAATCCACAAGAGAATATATAAACAAAATTCTAAAATCCCATCATTTGCCAACATTTTGGTCAGTTACAAGAAAACTTTGCGGGTGGCAACATCAGTACATTCATAAAAGCATTCAGGACTTGGTCCCAATGATGTATACTTACAATTGGCGTGAAACGGGTCACCTTATTCTCGAATAAAACTCATCACGAAACAGAATTCCAATCTGCTTCTAACCACAAGGGTCGCAATAATACAGCAGATGGCCATAGAGATCTAATAGTATAGCCTTCATTCTGTGAAAATAACCGCTGTCCTGCATCCACTGCACGAAAGCAAAGCTCTTTTAGATACAAATTTTCCTTAACCTTTTAACAGAGAACACAGAATCAAAATGGTAGGTGGGTCCAGATTTTGAAGTGGGAAACTTTTAAACCAACATGCAATGGTAGTCCAACTCCTAGGAGAGCTATCGACAGAGTTCAGAAACCCCACAAGGTAAGCATTGCACTTGTATAACACAAACCCAGATATAAATAAATCAGATTTGAGGCCGACAAAAGACAGCAATGAAAATGCCAGCCAGATGATCTAGAGAAAACCATAAGCACTAAGAAACAATAATAGAAGTCTTCCATAGGGATTCATGCCTCTGAGGATAAAAGGACGGAACAGGCTTATTCAGAAAATGCAGACAAGCCATGCTTGAACGTGTTGGAGTACTTGTCCATGGCTCAAGATTAATTGACCAAATAAATAGGCAACAAAACTGTTTAGAAAGGTATAGAGATACTCAAGCTCAATTCATGTTCAGCTTGATTTAAGGTCGCTCAAGATTGACCATTCAAGAAATTAAACCAAGCTCAACCTCAAACTCATTAAGAAAATCATACTAACCCTCAACCCACTGTCTGTCTTGATTAGATTTGCTTACCCTCCACAACCAACCCTAAAGGAAGAAGAGCAATTAGGAATGATTCGAGTGCCTCAAGACACAAGTCCATTGCCATTGGGCACTATTAAGTTGATAGAATTGGTGGCAATATATCAGGAATTAATGAATTTAATCATCTGAAGAAAACTAAAGTACCTTTTTGGCGTAGGAACAATGGAATAATTATGAGTTCCAACACCCTACAAGCTTCCATTCTGAGGGTTTCTGAGATAAGCTTCTAGCAGTCCAGTTGCTGCCAAAATAAAACCTAAAAGAACAGAATTCATTAGTAGAATTACTTTGGTATCAGTTGATGTGCCGGACTCAACAGATAATCATATTCTAGTCAATCAAAAACTCCTGAATAGCAAAAATTAAGCAACATGCAACCAATGAAAGACAAACAAACAATCAGATTCTAACTTATAAAGTGGTAAAGATTCTAGCAGAATAGGCGGTAATATTTGCTAAAGATAAGAAACAACAAATTCAGGTGGTCCTATAACTAGCGAAGTCAATATTAATTTCGTCTGCTGGTATTAAACTGTATCTGTACGCTTGTCTGAAACAACAAATCAATCAAGAACAGCACACAGCCATCATAGCAACCCTGTGGTGTGCACTTATCATTTACAGCGATTTTGCATGAAATTTGTAACTGACTTTACCTAGAAAAAGAGCTGAGGGTCTCCCTGGCCGGGACTTGAATTCTGGATGAAACTGCACCCCAACGTAAAAAGGATGGTCTGGAAGCTCCAAAATCTGCAGAAATAGGATTAGATGCAAAGAGGAAGATTTCAGCATTATGAAACCTCAACATTTAACTGCACAAATCATGGAAAAGATTAGGTTACTTCCCTGCTGATAAATTAGCATTTCGGCAGGCTGTGCTAAAGCAAACCAAAAATAAATAGGATGGAAAGTAAGTTCAAGATAGGTAACCTCCATTCGCTTCCCACTTTCATCCTTCCCAACAAATTTCAAGCCAGATTCTTCCAAAATGCTAACCATCTCTGGGTTCACCTGCAACAATTGAAGAGGAAGTATGTAGTATTCGTGATAATAAAATGTCTATCAAATAGTGACTTCATTAAGTAATATCAATTAACCTCATATCTGTGTCGATGTCGTTCATCCACGTAATCCGGATTGTGATACCTGTAGAGTGACAAAAATCACAAGAATAGTTTATGCATGGCAAATCTTTGTGGAATCAAACAGCTTCTAATAGGTGATAATCTCTTCAAAACTCCAGGTCCCAAAACAATATATTGGACACTCAAGTCATGCAGAACTTTACAAACTGCAAGTAAAAGCACTAATGCCTGAACTGAGAGAACAGATAAATCTTTTATTGCTAATTAAGGGTGTGTTTGATGGATATTATTGAGGAATATTGGGGAAATAATGTATTTTAAATAGTGATATGATGGAAAATATGTGGTTAAAAAATAAGTAAAAATTATTGACGTGATGAAAAATATTATTTTGTTCAAGAATGTGTGGTTAAAAATGAATTTTGAAAGAATGTGTGTCAAATAACAAGTCTGCATATTTGGATTGCACCATCATGCCGATTGTTCATCCTTGAAGACACTCTCGTTTAGGGTGTGTTTGATGGATATTATTGAGAAAATAATGTATTTTAAATAGTGATATGATGGGAAATATGTAATTAAAAAGTAAGAAAAAGTCATTGATGTGATGGCAAATATTATTTTATTGAAGAATGTGTAGTTGAAAATGAGTTTTGAAAGAATGTGTACCAAACAGGGGCTAAAACAAAGAATTTACCAAACTCGAAGCTTCAATCGAAGTAGTCAAACTAAATTTGTTATCATTTACGAACTTGCCATAGTAATACATTGAGCTCATTGTTGGCATTCTCGTTTAAACTAATAGGGCATTGCAAAAAATTAAATGGATTAATGCAGCTTATTTCTTACAGCTTTGCTGTGATACAATCTGGATTCTGAAATAATGTTCTTCGACAACCAAGTCTCATTGTGCATCCCATGTGTGTTTTTGAACCCTGAGGACACAAGATACAAAAGACAATACATTTTTCATTTGACTTGAAGAAAATCCCTTCAAACTATATAATGAAGTAACTACCTCTG